AGAATGGGAAAATATTTTTGTAAACTATGCATCAGATAAGGGATTGAAAACCAGAATACATAAGGAACTAAAGAAGCTGTTTGGAAAAAAGATGATGAACCCTATTAAAAGATGGCAGAAGGAGTTGAAAAGAACACTCACTAAAGATGTCATATGAATAGCCAAAAGGCATATGAAAAAATGCTCAACATCCCTCATCATAAGGGAAATGCTGATCAAAACAACAATGAGATACCACCTAACCCCAGTCAGAATGGCTAAGATTAAAAAAACAAATAATGCTAAGTGTTGGCTGGGATGTGGTGAAAGGGGAACTCTCTTACACTGCTGGTGGGAATGTAAATTAGTCCAACCACTGCGGAGAACAATTTGGAGATTCCTCAAAAATCTACAAATAGAACTGCCATATGATCCAGCAATCCCATTTCTTGGCATCTACCCAAAGGACAGAAGAATTTCTCATTGGAAAAGTGCTTGCTCATCCATGTTTATTGTGGCACTTTTCACATTTGCTAAGTCATGGAACCAACCCAAATGCCCCCATTTGGCTGAATGGATTCAAAAACTGTGGCACATATACTCTATGGAATACTATTCAGCCATTAAGAACAACAAAATTCTCGCTTTTGACAGAAATTGGGAGAATATAGAAGATTTACTGCTGAGTGAAGCAAGCCAGGCTATGGAGAGACACTGTATGTCCCCACTTAATATATACCAAATGTCCGCACTCTATAACTGAAACTGAAGGGCTAAAGGATGTACAAACACAAAAGGTGGATGTGAATGCCAGATGTGGTGTGTGTTGGATAGTGGGGTCTGGGGAAGAACATTTGGAGGTGGAATATGAAGACAGCATTGTTGAGACAGGGAGGTAGTGTTGTTATATTTTAATCACCTCGACCGGGGAGGAATATTCATGTATTGAAATGATCACCTTGTAAGCTAAATAATATGGTTGGATGTATTAAAAAATGTAAATAAAAAAAAGAAATTTGTACAGCACATTGATAACCTTGTAAGTTTTAATTTAATGGAAGTTGGAAGAAACAAATAGTTTCTTATTTCTTACATGACAAAATTGTAGTTCTTTCTCTTTTTAGAACATGGTAAATAAATATCAGTTTAACTGAAATGAGTTTTTGTGTTTTTCCTTTCAAGTGCCACTTAAGTAGAGTCTAATTTAAGCTTAAGTCGTTGTATTTGCATATTACATAGTCCCCAAAAATCAAACATTCAGATTACAATTGTCTATATTGTTTCATTCATGATGATTTCATAAATGGGAGTTTTATTTCCTTAAATCACATTGATTATGCTCAGAACCAAAATTCCAACTTATACACTTGGTGTCAAGACACCATGTCTTCTATGGGCCCCCTCATCAAAGCCAGCACTGGGCAGTTCCTGAAGTTGTCTGTGCCACTTGGAAAGCTGAGTTGGTTCTGATCTGCCAGGATGATGTACAAGGAAATGATAGAGTTTTTAATACTCCATTGTGTAAACAAGGAATTGTTGGATTTGGAATTGGAATTGCTATCTTGAGTTCATGTGACATAAGTATCAGAGGCTTCATTTCCTAGCAGCCAAGGTTGAAAATGTCAACTCTGAGAAAAAAAATATTGTGGTGATGTTAAGATACTGTTTTATCACCACAGAATAATCTATATCATCTTAAAATATAACTTAGCCTCTCTGACATTTTTTAAATGTAATTTTTCAAGAGTATGATTCTCTTTAAGCTAATGTGTTTGCCAGTAATGTCTCCTGAAACTTTTATTAGACAGTTTCCTTGGAAGAATCTCTGAGGTGGAGAGCTGTTATGTGGAGTGCTTTCAAGAGATCCACCTGCATGGGTGTGAGGAAGGCCAGAGGGAGCTGGTAAACCTCAGCTACTGTAACTGAGCCATAGCCAACTTGGAGCATCTCCAGTGCTGGAATGTCCTTTCTTTGTTCAATGTTGTAATGAATGCAAAACTTTCTATATCTTTGTGTCAAATTGTCCAATAAGTGTCCCCTGGTTTCTCTCTCCAGAAAATGTAAATGTCCACTCAGTTCATACTTTTTAGGACATCTTTAAATTGGTCATCAGTGTTCTCATCATTGGCAATTGAATGTAATGGATATGGACAGGTGTTCAGGTGAAACTTAACAGATTCCACTTTTCTTGTTATTTTTAATTTGTTAGAGGGCAAATTGTATTGTGTGTGCCTGCCACAGAGAGACAGAGGAAAGTGACAAATGACTCCTCATAGGGGATGGGCATATTAATATTTCTTCTCCTAAATTTCCCATTGGTTCCCATTGGTGGGATTTGGGACATGCAAACACATAAGCCCAATGTGTTATTTAAGCCCTCAGGATCAACATTGGAACCATGCAGTCAGCCACAAGGAACTCAGCCACATGGCTGAATCTGGTCCACCTCTGCTCTTTTTCTTTTTCTCGCTTCTTTGTACTGTTAATAATCCCATGAGTCAGGAAATTACCTGAGGTTTTTTTGTTCTGTGTTCCAAAAAATTGTGCACAAACAACCAAGAGAAGTTTTGAGGGCTTCAAGGTGTATGTAATTCCAGCTTTCACTTTTTCTTTGCTCATATGTGAGAAGACGGCATTAAAAGCTATTCAACTCTCATTCCCCATCCTGGCAACCCACTTACCTGTGGGATTTTAGAGAGTTCCAAAATGGTTCCAATTTGGGCTGAAAATGTTGGCATGTTTCCTGCAATGATAGCAACAAGTTGTTTCTGTGTCTGGCAGTTGTAGTTTGGCAGAGTCTCATTCCCTCCAGAGAGCAAAAACACAGCATTTTGTAAAGTTCTTCTGTTACTGGGAAAAGCATTGTAGAGATCATAACCCAGGGAAAGGTTAGGGAGCAAATGGGGGCTCTTATTGATCTCCTCAATGGCAAAGAGAAAGGCCAATACATATTGGTAGTTCTTCCATTTGTACCTAAACAGAGGAGACAGTGTTAGGAAATACAATAAATTCATATAAATCAGGGTAAATTCTTCAACCAAGCCACAAGACATAAAGGTTTAGGTCTAGGCTGCCATTCAGAGATTCTCCTGTACTGGTACATGGAGCTAGTGTGAGAGCTAGTGTGAGTAATATTCACAGGGCTCTAGAAACCTTGCAATGCTTTTCTCACTACTTAAGAAAATTGTGTCCAAACAATGAAGAGAGGTTTCTAGGGCCTTTTGAGGGAGACGAGGTTTTGTTAAGCTGGATGATGACTCTGCCACCTGAAGAGAGGTGATTTTAAAGGAGCATCATTAATATAGAGAGAAGACAAGTTTTTTTACAGGCTGTGAATAAAGAGTGCACACATTCACCATTTTTTATACATTTTAAAAATTTATATATAGGCAAGTTACAATGGGTGTGTGCACACACACACCCATTGTAACTTGTGTGTGTATATATGTACACACCCATTGTAACTTGCCTATATAACACACCCATTGTAACTTGCCTATATATATATGTTATATAACATATATATAATAATAAGTAGTTTTAGGATTTTTAAATATAACGTGTAACAACTGGACTATGGCAGTTAATATGTATATCACCTGAAATATTTCAGATTTTCTGTGAGGATAACATTAGTACAATGCTCCCTTGGCACTATTGGAAAGAATAGTAATCAATGATGAGTTACATTCCTCAGGATTACACTCACCTTTATAACCCTTCTCGAATGTGTCCCACATGTCATCTTGTTTCTATGTAGGTCCAGAAACCACAAT